AAAAATATTGGATTATTTTCAAAGGAACAAATACAAGTTAATTATATGAGTTGGGATTACTCCAGAATAATCACAAAATTTGGATTATTATAAAAGGGAAAATACAAGATAATTATATGAGTTGGGATTAGTCCATAATAATAATAAAAAAATTGGATTATTTTTAAAGGGACAAATACTAGATAATTATATGAGTTGGGATTAGTCCATTATAATAAAAAAAATTGGATTATTTTCAAAGGGACAAATACAAGATAATTATATGAGTTGTGGTTACTCCATAATAATCACAAAATTTGGATTATTATAAAAGAAAAATACAAGATAATTATATGAGTTGGGATTAGTCCATACCAATCAATAATTTGGATTATTTTAAAAGGGAAAATAGAAGATAATTATATGAGTTGTGATTACTCCATAATAATCACAAAATTTGGATTATCATAAAAGGGAAAATACAAGATAATTATATGAGTTGGGATTAGTCCATAACAATCAATAATATGGATTATTATAAAAGGGAAAATACAAGGGGATTAGGATATTAATCATTTTTTCAAATTTCAGATTAAACTTATTTTTTAAAATCACCAAGGCCTCAACATCAATTTCGTAGTCACTGTAGTTTGAGAAAGTCCATCCCCTTTATTCCATCAATCAAGATCGTGCCACGTGGATTTAATCAAAAGTATTGATTGCTTTGTTTCTAGGATCGATTATTTTGCAAAGGGGTCAAGGATCGATGACTTGGCAAATTGGGTGAGGTGTGGCTATGTATAGTACTAATTTACCATGCTTACATACAGTTGCCCCTTTTATAGCAATTAGTCACTATCATTAAAACAAGTGTCTGTTACCTTTATACAAACTTGGTTGGATGCCTTTTATTTTTGAGATTTTTTGTAAGTGTATTTGTATACACATATAATTTAATAGTTTCATTTGTATTCTGATCAGTTAGCAAAGACGTGTGGCGCCAAGGAAATGCATAAAAATAATAATGGCGCCAAGTTGAATTTTTTTGTTGTGGCGCCATAGCAGTCCAAACATATTAGCTTATTTCGCGCCAAAGCTTACTTGTTCTTCTTTATAAATAGGCAAGTCTTGATGCCAAAATTAAAGTACAAAAATTCAAAATTGTAAACTATAAGAAACCATGGTAAACACAATAAACGTACCATTGAGTTGTTTCACAAGAAATGCAAAGACCTTAAAAACAAAGAAGAAGAAAGTAACCAAACACAAATATCATCCTACATTTATCAAAGGGTGTTGTAGGATGGTATGCTCTTATGGTGTTGTCCAACAAGGTAAATGTAAGTGCTGATAGTGACAGTAGGAAATGGAGAGTCATTGAGATGTAGTATAAGACTTCCGAGCATTGTAATATCATTCTTATTAATGTATAATATTGCGTTATGTATTGTTCGAAGGTATGCTATTATGGTTTTATCCACCTTTTGGTAACTTAGTATTGTACGTACATTAAACTTAATATTAATTATGTTTTTTTTTTTTAATTTTATTTTTATTTAATATGGTTAATCATGTTAAGCTTGTATACGGACACATACAATAACCATGACTTTACTTTCATTAACATTAAAAATTAAAATAAATACAAAATAAAAAAATTCGCATACTAGATAAGTTTGTCATTTAATTTTATTTTTAACAAAGGCAATTAGATAAGTTGGTCATTGTAAATAAAAAAAAAAAAGGGAAGTATATGAGTATGAATTGTAAAGTCAAAATGTCAAACAATAGAGTGAGACAAATTGTTTCACCTTTTTAAAAAGGGTAAGTAGTAGTACTAAAAACAACATGTGACTCTATCAATTAATAATTTAGAAAATCAATGGACTCATACAAATCTATTAACCCTTTTTAAAAAGAGACAGTACTGAAACCCAAAAAGAAGGAAAAAAAATTACTATAACATTGATGGTTAAAAAAAATAATGATGTTAAGATCTATGTATAGTAATACAAATACATTTAAAAAAAAGGAGAATTTTTGTGCTAGGGATTTGATAAATTAAATTTAATAAAAAAAGTCACAATTGTAAAGAGATTTGAAGACGCCTAGTCCGATTCTAATTTTATTTGGTTGGGAATAAGTCTAGTTTGCCGTAATAATGTGGAAACCACCATTGGTAAGAATCAGAAAAAGGTTAACACAACACACACATAACATTAATATAAGTCACAGTACAGTACAAGATAAAATACGGTACTGTAGACACCCATTTGTGTCTCCCCAAAACCAAACCCAGTGATGAGTGCCTTTCACGTCGAATCATGATCGAATGAAACGAAAGTGTGGAAAGGTCTAGTGTTGCGGAAAGTTTTATTTCTTTTCTTTTCTCTCTATTTTTGAAAACTTTATTTTAAGAAAACAACCAATCCAGTTTGGTTGGTCCATGATATGGGTCCAATAGTGGTGTAGTTGGATGGGGCTTGCAAAGACCTTTCCAACGATATATTATAAGCCCAATTCCGATGAATATTGAGGAAGTTATGTACAAATTTTTGCTTAGACTCTAGGGTAGCCAGCTTCTCCTACACCCCCATGCTACTACGTCGTTTTATATTGAACCATTCTGCCATTTTTTTTTCTTCATCTTTTTTCATTTTTGTTAACTTTCTATTCAAGCAACTATATAATGATTTTCTTAACCTAATTTCCATTTTATTTATCTCATATTTTACTTATTTCATTTTCTCTCTCCTGCATTTTTTATTTTTCCCCCAATTTTTCTCTCTCTTCTTCCATGGAAATTTCTAGCTCAATTGCGTTTGATCGTGACAGTGATTCTAGCTTAATTGCTTTTGATCGTGATTGTGATTCTATTTTTCTGGTGGAGTTGGTTTAGTCGACTCGTTTTCGAAACAATGTGAGTAATTTTTTCCTCAATCATTCGATTTTGATTATGCTCTGTTTTTCGCGTGTAATAGTTCGATTTTGATTTTTGATTTCATAGTTTTTCTAATTGTATGAACTATAGTTTATATAATGCTCAATTATAATTTTTGATTTTATTGTTTAGCTAATTGTATGAATTAAAATCAAAATTATGGTCGATTATAATATTTGATTTCATTTTTATTTATGATTATTTTAATTTATAATTTGTGATGTATTGTTGTGATTTTATTGTTTTTCTTTGTAATGTTGTTATTCGATTGATGTTTTTTCCAGTTTTCTACATTTTAATGATTGTCTATAGTTTTATAAAATTTGACATTCAATTAATGCTCATGTATGTTATATTATATGTACATTTACGTTAACATAGGTGTAATTACTATAATTTACATTTATCTATGTAATCATAAATGTTCATTTATATGTTTTATTATCATTTTGATGTATGTTCATTTATGTAATGATAAATGATCATTAACAGTTTACATGTGGTTATTGTACATTATTGCTATTATTTGTGTTCATTTGTTACATTTTAATATTGCAGTGGAAAAAAAGAATGCTATTTTATTTGAGGAAGCAGCTAGTTCTGAATTTTATGGGAAACAATTTCCTTCTGAAGATGTGGCTTATGAAATGTTTAATGAATATGCATTTAGAAAGGGCTTTGGAATTAGAATTGGACAAAGTAAGAGGCGAAGAGATGATTCATTCTCTATGAAAAGATTTGTTTGTACAAATGAGGGTTTTAAAGATGATAAGTGCAGGAATAATAGGCTGTATGAGAGACTTAACATAAGGACTGGTTGCTTAGCTTTTGTGCAGTTTAGTATTGACCGTTCAGGTGTATATACATGTATAAGACATGAGATGGTTCATAATCATGAAATGATTCCTGTTGACAAGAGACATTTAATAAGGTCTCAAAGGGATATTTCTAAGGAACATATTAATTTCATTTCTACACTTAGATTGAGTGGAGTTAAAGTTTCTGATTCTTTGAGAGCTTTGAAGAAGGAGGTTGGAGGGTCTCCTAACCTTTGTTTTACAGCTCCTGATGCTTATAATGCTATTTCTGTTGAAAAGACAGCTAAACTTGGGGGAGGTGACAACAATCAACTAATCAAATTTTTTGCTAAGAGACAAATTGATGAAGCAGATTTCTATTATGATTTTGAACAAGATGAAAATGGTGCATTGGTTAATTTCTTTTGGAGAGATGGAAGGATGATGAGAGATTATCATTACTTTGGTGATTTGTTAGTTTTTGATACTACTTATAGGACTAACAAATATGGTATGATTTGTGCTCCATTTGTGGGTATGAATCATCATGCAAATAATGTGATGTTTGGCATGGGATTTATACTTAATGAAAGAACAGAATCATTTGAGTGGTTATTTGATACTTTTCTAACTTCTATGGGAAGGAGAAGTCCTATTACTATTATGACTGATCAAGCTCAAGCAATTGCAGCTGGGATAAGAAATATTTTCCCCAAAGGTGTTCATCATAGATTATGTGTGTGGCATATTGAACAAAATTCTAAGAAACACATTGGGGCGTTGAGAGCTTTGGATGGTTTCACTGATTTATTTGGTTATTTACTGAAGTATTGTGAAACTCCACTAGAATTTGAGCATTATTGGAAAAGGTACTTCTGCTTTATACTTGTTTAGCTTCTTAAATAATTTTTACAGAAATGAACATTTAGTTTTTTTATAAATGTTTATTTATAATGATCATAATTGTCATGCTTAATGATCATGTTTCATTTACAGAATGTTGTTGAAATATGACTGTGCAAATGTTGATTGGTTGAATGATTTGTATAAAATCAAAGAGATGTGGTGTCCAGCTTTTTCAAAGAAATTTTGGTCAGGAGGTGTGCTTTCATCTCAACGTAGTGAGACAACTAACAAATCAGTTTCTCAAAGGCTTAACAAGACACAAGGTCTATGTGATTTCTATCAAGTGTTTCTCGATGTGGTTCAAGAGTGGAGAAGCAAAGAAAAAGGGAGAGATTATAATACAATCAGAGGTAATTGTCATTTGGCTTTTGCATACATTGGGATTCTTGTTCATGCTAGATCATTGTATACTATTCAAGCTTATGTGCTTTTTGAGGAAGAGTTCATTAAGGGTACTGCTTGTGATCATAAGGATGCTGGTGTGAATTTTCCTGAATATTATTATCATTTGTGGAGACCTGGGAAAGATATGATCAAGCACGAGGTTGTTTTTAATAAAGAAACACATGCAATATGTTGTACATGCATGTTGTTTAGTGAAATGGGTTTGCTTTGTTGTCATGCTCTTCGAATTTATCATATGAATTGTGTTCATAAGATTCCAGATGACTATATATGTAAGAGGTGGACTAAGGCTGCTATGTGTAGTCATGGCCTTGATGAACCTACAATGAAAACCAATGTAGTATCTACAAGTGTTTGGAGGACACAAACACTAAGGAAATTTGTTAAGTTGGTAACAAGTTGTCAACACTCTTTGAATGCTAGAGAAGAGGTTGAATGTTATTTCAATCTTTTAAAAGAAAAGATTGAGAGTGTTACTGGTACTATTGATTTTAATGAACCGGTTGAAGGTATTGAAATTGTTGATCATGAAGTTAAGAATCCGGCAAAATCAAGACCTATTGGAGAGAGGAATTATAGGCCTAAGAGTAATTTAGAGAAGGCTTATAACAAAGCCAGGGGTCAGTGGTTGAAGAAAAAGTCAGTATACACTCCTTATAAAAGATCTAAAGGTCAAGCAGTAGTTCAGGTAATAATGCACATTTATGTTTTTGTTATTGATCATTTATGTTCAAGAATTGAACATTTTTGTTTTGCCTTAGGAATTGGACGAGAATGGGTGTCCTATATCTTATGCTAATTCTTTGGCTGATCCTAATGAGTTAATTGTGATTGAAGATCCAAGTGCTCAGGTAAAAACTTATTTTCTTTTTTTTAATCTGTTTTTATCAAATTCTTTAGAATATTAAACATTTTTACTTTTAATTTTTTTTCAAGGTTTGTAATAAAAAGACTGCCATTGTAGAAGATATCCCTTCAGATGATAGTGTTTCAAATGACTTTGAACAGGTATTATGTAAATGATTATGTATGTAATTGTAGTTGTTCATTTTAGTAGTTTAAGTTGTGATTATAATGTTTTTATAATTTTCATTTTATTATAGGAATATGGATATAGCTCTATGCAATCAAACGTTACTGTTGATCCAGACATATCTTCTATTGTTAAGGTGAAATAATAATCATCTACCTTTTAATTTTGTATAAGGTCATTATGAATTTTGAATTTGATCATTAATTATTTTAATTTTGATCATTAGGGTAAAACAGCTGCAATTGCTCATGATGTTGATAATTTTCCAACAAGTTCTCAATTGCCACCAAAGAAACCAAGAAATGTACAATTTCCCACAGTTGTGCATGCTCAAATCAATGCTCAAGCTCCTTATAAAGTTTCTAGCATTGTTCAAAATCCTCCAAAAGCTCCAAGAAATGTTCAAGTTCATTCTAGTGTTCCGAAGAAAGTTCAAGCTCCTTCTAATGTTCCAAGAAGTCCTCAAGGCTGTTTTCGGAATTTTCAAGTTGATTCTAGTATTTCAAGAAATGTGCATGATGTTCCTAATGTTCCAAGAAGTACTCAAGGAAATTCAAGGAATGTGCAAGTTTCTCCTAGTGTTTCAAGGAATGTTCTACTTTCTCCTAGTGTTTCAATGAATGTTCAAGGATCTCCTACTGTTTCAAGAAGTACTCAAGGAGGTTCTCCACAGATTTCAACCAAATATGATAGGTTATTAGTTGATACTAGTGTGGCTAAGAGATTGGCTACAAATGGTAAATAAGAGAGTAAATCAATATGCAATTATGTTTTGGTGTTTAACTATCAACATTTTTAGTTGTCTCAACTTTATAGAGATTCAAGTGCTTTAAGTTTTTTATATTTTGATTTATTAAATAATTTGAATCTTTTTTTTTTCAAACTATTCTTAAATGTTCTATAAATGATTATTTTTGCTTTTGGAAGTGATCATATACTATTTTAAATAGTAAGAACCATTATTAAATTGGAATAATTATATTAGATGATTTAAAACTGGCAATTATAATGTAACACTTTACTATTTGTAAATATTAAAAAGATAATAAATTTTGTCTTTACTTGAACAACAACAAAAACTTATGTCCATACAAATACTGAAAGCAAGTATGATCATATATATGTCTATATATGAACATATTGTATTAAGCTTGTGCAAATCTTCTTGCTGCTCTTCTATTGTTCTGTGACTGCCTGTTTCCTTCATTCAGCATTAGTTCAGCAGTGTATTGTACTCTGAGCTTTCTGATTTGGTTCACCTGTTCCAAGAAAATAATTTATTATAAACATGAACATTAATGGGATATAAATGATCATTATGTATTATAAAGTGATCATGAAGTATATTTTTTTGTTTTGTTGAAATTTACTTACATTGTTTGGTTTTAGGTCACAAACCCATTCTTCATTGGGATCAGCAGTGAAAGTTTCCATATGTTTCATAATGTAAACTCCACAGTTGGTGTAATCTTCGTTGCTCCTCCACTTCATTTTTTGCAAAACCACCTTATATTTCTCAATAGAATCTGCATCTTCATACCCCAACCCTTTCAAATATTCTGCATATCCTTTTAATTGCAACATATACAGAAAAAAAAATTCAAAGGATCATATTAATATTGATCATTTTAATTTTCAATATTGATCATTTTGTATAAACAAATTGATCATTTATATATCTATTAAACAATATACTTACCACCAATTGGGGTTGGTTTTCATACTTTGTTGCAATTGTTTGATGTTTTGGCAGTTTCCTGTTGTCAATTATATGCATTGTCTCATTGATATGATCAATGCATAGAAGATAGAAATGTGCATATATGGCCACTGGAAAAAAAAATCTGTACATAGTACACAATATTATTATATATACACATTAATGTAAATGAACATATTATAATTCCATATTGTTCATTAATACCTGTTGATATCCAACTGCACTCTTGATTTTGTATAACCTCAATTCATTTGTTATTCTTTCTTTGAAGTATGCAATTCTAAGCTCCATTGATGATCCTTCAGGACACACTGTATTTGCATACATAATTTGCTGCAAATAATGCACAAGGATCATTTTAATATTCATAATGATCATCTAGTATAAGTGAATTGATCATTTTAGTACACCAATGTATACATGTGTAATTTCAATAAAGACTTACATGTGGAAATGTTGAAAAATATAACTTGTTCTTTGACCTTTTTTGATTCAGAAGTACTGCCCATGAATCGATCACATTGTTAACTACTAATGTATCCCCTTCAAGAGTTTTCATCTCTTCCCTATTGATCGAATTCACTCCATCATAGTATAGTAGCTCACTGCAAAATATTAATTTTTTAAATTTTATGAGTTTACAACAAACATAATGTTAAAGTTTTAATGAAGTAAGTGATGTATACCTTTGATCTTTTCCACTATAAGCATAGTCTGTTACAAGTTTGTTCATTGTGTCTTCATCTTTGAACAAATCCTTGTACTTGACCATGTATGGAGATCGGAAAGCAAGAGGAACATTTGGGATTTCCCTTTGTGGCCTAGTTAATGTGACCATATATTAATACAATATGAATTTTTTTAATAATGAACAAATAATTTATATAAAGAACAAATAGTAATACCTTATATCTTTTTCCTTTGCAATCTCAGTTTTTGCCTTCTCAGCTTCTCTTGATTTTTTTCTTTCCAAAGTCTTCTCTCTGTCACTGAATAAATATTGAATTATGAATGATCATTTAGTATATTGATAATGAACATTATAAATCTATACACATGTAAAGACCATTTACCTTTGTCCTGTTGTGTTTTTGGAAATTTGAATCTTCTCTGTTTCAATTTCTTTTGAATCCTTTTTTGTCTCACTGAATATAAATATAGTATAAATGATTATTCAGTTTAATGTAAAAGAACATGTATATGTGGAATAATCATTTACCTTTCCTTCACATTTGAAGCATATATCTGTTTCTTCTTGTCTTCTCTGAAATATTAATCATGGTTAGTAATGAAGAGTAATTAATATAAAAAAAACATTATTCTCCTTTTTTGAACAATAAACACTTAAAATATTACTAAAACATTTAAATTAAAATACATAATTTACATATCTTAAATTGTGCATTCCTACCCTAAAGCAAAATATTCCCTTCTGATTTTATAATACATATCCATTACTAACTTCATAAACAAAAACTGTCCAAAATAATTACACTTTATAACCAAATTTATTCTACATGTCCATTCAAAATTATATATTTTCTAACAAGATAGGTCTTCCATGTTTACCCCATGCTTCCTCCTTTCTTGTTTGATTTATCAAGGATATCTTCCATACTTGAACATGCTGGAGATTTGAAGATTGTAGAAAATATCTCCAGCAGCTTCCCTATTTTCAGTTGGTGTCTTGGGATCACCAACTTTTGAATCAGATGCTGCAAACAAAATACATGAAAAAAATTTAATATAACTAGAAATGAACATTATACTTAATAATTTGATCATTTATTTGTAATATGTGAACATTGTACCACTCTTTGAATTTCCTTCAACATTTTCTTCTAATGCTTCAGATTTTGAACCTTCACCTTTATTTAATGCTTTTTGTATTAATTTGCATTCACACATATATATACTTAGTATCATTAAAGAAGAATATCTTACAATCACAAATATTCATTTAATACTATATAAGTGAACTTTTTACCTTTTTTTGAATTTCCTCCATCTTGTGGTTCTTCAGAATTTGAACCTCCAACTCTTTCTGTTGATTTAAAATATATGAAATTGTTAATGTAAATGAACATTTGTTATTCTGAATATATACTTTTTTGAATATTTAGACTAAACAAACTTATTATTTTATAAATGAACATTATACTTTTCATAATTGTACATAGATATTAAAGCTTTACCCTCTTCTGGCTTAGAAGAAACATTTGCATCAGTTGTTGTTGAAGTTGTGGCTGCAACATTAATCTGTGCTTCTGTGTTCAAATAAATTAAATTTTAATTCTTTAATTATATTATACTCTTTAAGTAAGGATATTCAAATTAATGACAGTTTTTAATTAAGCATATTTACCGGTTGTTGGAGTTGGGGGGAGTTAAGTTGCAACCCAAACTGAATGCCTTCCTTATATCATATTCCTTCTCATTTCCTATTTTCTTTTTTTCTGCTTCACTTGCCTCCATCAGTTCCTTCTCAATTTGAGCTATGGCATTCAAAAAATCCTCTGATCCAAATATTTCTTCATCTTGGCTGAGAATTGATGGTTCTCTTGCCATCTTTCCCAACACTTCATCTACCTTCTTGACCAACTGATTCCCAGGGAAGAGCTTTTTTGCCTTAACCAATTTGGTAGAAAGTCTTGCCAAAGATGCACCAAATTCTTGTACCATTGATGCAAATTCATTCATAAAGACCTGTCATTTATAGAACATATAAGAAAAATCATATAAGACATTATGTGTTTTGATATTGAACATTTCATAATTTATAAATGATCATTTTGTACCTTAGGATTGTCTGCAGGCTTTTCTTCTATTCTTGGAAGGACTTTTCCATATCCATAGTTCAAATCATTTTCTGTTTTTATCCTTTCAAGTGACATATCCCTTTTCCAACAAGAAATTATTGGAATTGTTCTTGGTTGTTTTTTGTTCAATCTTTGAACTCTGTCAAAGTAGAACAGCTGCACCAAAACCCATTACTATAAATGAACATATAATATAATACAAATGAACAATTAATATAAAAGATTAAAAATTTTAGACGAAATCGATATTTAACATTTTGTTAATGAACATTCATTGTTACTAAAATGAACATTTTATAATTTACTATTGTGTGTTGTAAACTTACCATCAGAAATTGCAGTGGTCCATTGTAGAATCCTTTTCCTCCACTCTTTCTCCATGTCACATGGCAACTGATGAGAGAGTCAAACACGTACTGACACCAATTCAAGTTTTTTATTTTTTCTTTGTCCATCATAGAAAACAGAAACTTGAAATGGCATTGGTTGTTAGAAATACACTTCATCAAACAATTCACAGCAACTACCAAAAAGTTGGTGAGAAAATCTTCTTCTGCTGGCCTTTGGTTTTTGAATTTATCACTTGTATATTGAGCAATAATTTGGTTTACAGATGGTGTTTTGCTTTGCCATTTTGACCTCCAATTTTTTATAAATACACCAAAATCTTCACTTGCTCTGTCTGATTTGGCTTCAACAATGGGAATGTCTCCCATTGGCAAACCATATACAATTCTCACATCCTCCACCTCAATTTCAATTTTCTCACCTTTAGGCAGCTCAAAACTACAACTACTGACTTCAAAGCTATCTAAAACCCAATGGCTGAATTGTTTGTCAAGCTGAGGAAGTTCTATATCCAACAACGGCCCCAGTCCTATTTCATGCACTAATTTCTTCTGTGTATCACTCATTTTCTTAACCCAATGCATGAATTTGACATGGCCTCCTCTTGTCGAACTTCCAACTTCCTCTTCATTCTTTTCTTCCTTCTCTTCTTTTTTTTAGCCACTGAAAATTCAGTTTTCCTCTTCACAATCTTTTTTATTGGTTCCCTCTCATACAAAACCATTCTTTTTTCTTCAGCTTTTGGTTTTTTCAATGTTGTTTTCTTTTCTTGAACTACTTCCACCTCCTCACTTTCTTCATCTTCTTCTTTTTCAGCATCAAAAGCTGGATCCTCACTGTCTGATCCACTATCAGTAT